TGTTAAAGTTTGTGGTACCGGAGGAAGGTCGAATGTTTAGAGTAAGTACAGTATTGGGCCAAGCACACTTCCTTGAGGAACTCCGGCTCGTATTTCATGTAGTGGTGAATAAGCGTTTTCGTATTTTACTCTAAAATATCGATCAGAAAGATACGATTTTAATAATTGACTGTACGTTGATTGTAGTATTTGGTCTAGTTTGTAATTTAAACCATCTAACCAGACTTTGTGGAAAGCTTGTGCAACATCCAGAAATATGGCGGAGCAGAATTTATTTTCTTCCAATGCTATTTCGATAGTATTCGTTCACTTGGTCTATTGGTGCATGTTTATTATATGTACTAGTTTATTATTATGTTTATCTATACAATAATACATCGAAATTAGCGATCAAGCAAAAACAGAGCACAACTGAACAAAAGAAACAAAATAAAACAAAACACTTACTGTCGGCAATAAACTAAATGTAAGAATGTGTTGCTCAAAGTCATAAACATATGTGTTGACAAAAATCAAATGTACTTATTGAAACAACATTGACAAATGAATACAATAAACCAAAACTGAATACACGTTATTTTATAAACACGTCGCAATTGTCAGAAAATAAAATGAGGTTATGTGAATTACATGAAGTTAGACGACAACGCATATGTCCGCATTTGTCAACACATATGTTTATGACTTTGAGCAACACATTTTTACATTTAGTTTATTGTTGACAGTAAGTGTTTTGTTTCTTTTGTTCATTATTTGTGCTCTGTTTTTGCTTGATCGCTAATTTCGGTGTATTATTGTATAGATTGGGCTGAAGATGGTCAGGTCATTACCCGAAACTAGTACCATATAATATATAAGCAAGTAAGATGCTTTTATGTTATTACAATTACCTTTCACATCGCTGTGTTGGTATTAGGGCTCTTTCTTCTATTCAATTAAAGAAATTTTCTACTTTTCAAATTTTGCAATTTTCCATTTTGCGCTTTTTCTTCTATAACTATATAAGCAAGTAAGAAGTTTTTATTTTATTACAATTACCTTTTACATTTATATGTTGGTATTAGGGCTTTTTCTTCTATTCAATTAAACAAATTTTGTACTTTTCAAATTTTGCAATTTTTCATTTTGCGCTTTTTCTTCTATGACAGGTTTTAGTCTTTTTAATAGTAATTTTTCAAGCAGTTTTTATAGTAAGGGTAATAATGAGATTGGCCTATATGATGTAACATCTATGGGGGGTTTACCAGGTTTTGGTATCATTATTATTTTAGCAACTTTCCATATGCTTGGGAAGTATTTCTGTTTAAAGGCAGCATTAATTATGTGTAATAGTTTTGTAATCGCCCGTTTTGGTAGATGTTTCAATGTTTCTCCATTAATGAGGTCATAGCCTACCGATTTCTTTATATTTAGTTTTTGTATTTCATAATACAGTTCTTTCATTCTTACACATTGTATATTACTCTGCTGATCACTTTGAATTACGCTAGGGACACTATTTAGCATAGTTGTTGGACTGTCTGATGTAAAAGTTTCTTTCAGATGTTTAGCAAACAAATTAACTTTTTCTTAATTGCTCTTAGCCCAATTTCTGTTATTATTTCGAATTGGAGGTGTATGTGTTTTTGGAACTTTAAGCTTTCTTGTTGCCTTCCACAGAGAATAATCAGTACTGGCATCGTCAGTAAGTTTTTTTAAGTAATTTTGAATATTATTTTCTTTGTGGCTACCTGTTAATGCACTTAATTCGGCTGTTATTTTATTTAATTTAGTTTTATCACTAGAAATTCTATTGGTTTGCCATTTCTTTCTTGCTTTCCGTTTTTCTGCAATTTTGTCTTTAATGAATTTATTATAAATATTAGATTTAGGTTTTGGTATTAAAATTGGTGTTGAGGCCCAGGCTGCGTTTTGTATGTCTTTTAAGAACTTTTCCACTTCCTTGTCACTGTCTTCGTTTGTTTTCATAAGAGCATTAAGATGAATTTTATTATCTAATGTTTGTTGAAATAGATTCCAATTAGTGAGTTTATTAGTTAGTGATAAAAAGAGTTCTTTATTACATACTTTGTTATTTAGAGTAATAATTACTGGTTACAGTTTCACTACTCGCTTTTTCGACATGCGAGACTCCTGGCTTTATTTTATTTGAATTTACTGTTTTCTTATTCCTAATGGCTTGCAGTTCCTTAATCACAATGCATCCTCGGTAGTTCGCTGGATGATTTTCTCCACAGTTGAAACATTTAGTCGGGATGTCTTTGGATTTAGTACATTCGCTGGTATAGTGTTCACCAGCACATTTAACACATCTCGGATTTTTTTGGCAGTAAGCTTTGGTGTGGCTCCAACCTTGACACCTTTTGCACTGGGGAATTTAATTTAGCTTTCTGTACTCTTCGATTTTGACACGCATTCCTAATATGTTTGTTATTTCATGGATTCTTTTTGCATCCTCTGACGGTGCAAAATCCAAGATGTATAAAGGAAGAGGCTCTTTTGTGTTGTATTTTAACATTTGGGTTACTTTACAAATGTTATACTTGCGCTCCAATAGATCATCTTTGATATGTTAACATCACAGCTTTTATGCATCTTTTTAGCGACCACTTTCAGATTTCTGGTTTACTTATTTTCATACCAGGACAAGTAGACCAGGACAAATTCTTTTCAGTAAGCATCTTTGATGCTTCTCTGTACTTTTCTTCCGAATTAAGATTCAGTTTTACTGTGCCGTTATTTAGCGCATGTGTTAAAAATCCATCTTTAATACCCTTTAAGTAATTTATAAATGTCATCATATTGTTTGACATTATAAATTAATATTGATTGTACGGGTTGCTTTTCAGGTTTGTTTTCAATTTCCGAAGACAGTTTAAATGGCTTGGTTTCAGTTTTACGTTTTTTGTTTCTTCTAGCTTGTTTTATTATCCAGTCAGTCTCCAAAGCTAACTCATCTTCGTCTGTGGTATACACCACTGTAGTAGTTACTGGAGGGTTAAGATTTTGTTGGGTTTTTTGCCCCTCAGGTCATCTATTTCTTTTTGAAGAGTAGCTTCATCTTTAGTCCGTTGCTTCTTTATTTGTTCGATTTCTTTTTTAAGTTCGGCGGAATGTGTTCTTTTTGTTTTTAGGGAATTTAACAGGGAGAATTCCATATCCGTTTTTGGAGTAAACTTTTCCATGTTATTGACCCACTTAATTGTTTGTTTTTATTTCGCGTGTATGATTTATATTACTAATATGTTTATATTATCAATATCAAAAATATTATACTGTTCACACTATTTTACATTATTTAGGTATATCATCTATAAACGATTTATAGAGCGTAAAATAACACATCCGCTCTTTAGCGATGCACAAATCTTTATAAGCAGAGGCGGCGCTAACGGGGGGTGCAAGGGGTGCATTGCACCCGGTCTTCAGGTAGTCTTCAGAAAGCAGTATTTAGTCTCCACAAAGCAATTTTATTCTTTAGAAAGCAGTATTTAGTGTTCCAGACGCTGTATTTAGACCTGTTAGCAGTATCTAGTCTTCAGAAAGCAGTATTTAGTCTCCACAAAACAATTTTAGTCTTTAGAAGGCACTATTTAGTGTTCCAGACGCTGTATTTAGACCTGTCGGAAGTATCTGGTCTTCAGAAAGCAGTATTTAGTCTTCTAGAAGCAGTATCTAGTCTTTTGCCAAAGTTATGTATGTTTTCTCCAAAATATTTTATCTTTCTTTTGCAATATTTAGAC